AAAAAAAAGAAAACGAAGGCGGGAGGAACAAGAAAGAAAGAAACGGAAACTCTAAGTGGAAAGTCGAGTTGTGCCGATAGAGGCTGAATTATCGGAGGCATAATTTATCAATGAAATGAGCTGGCGTGCCGCTAATTGACAAAGAACGAAAGGAAAACGATGAATCAGTGCGGCGGACATCTGGCCGCAGAAAAATTCAAGCGTTTCTCGCGACTCATCGGGCGGAGGAAAGTTATTAACGGTCGGCAATCGATAATTTAGCCTAATAAAACGAGTGGCGCGAAGCACGGAACACGTAACCCTAGCGAGAGGGACAAGGGAGAAAAAGTTGCACCCTGCGCAAGGTAAAAGCAGCCAATTAGCACATGCCGATGGGCACAGAAATACAACATTCAACCCTATTTTTAAATCGCCTCGAGACACAACACGTTATTAGCTAGTTGACCAGCTGTGTCTTTTTTTTTTTTTTTTAATATTTTTCAGTGTTTCAATAGGAGGAGAAATAATGATCAGACGGTATTCTAATTTTTATCGATGTCGATAAAAAATTCGGAATCGTTTAATTTCCGTTGAAGAAGCTCGCCTGGCTTCTTGTTTGCCAAATATTGAAAACCTTCGTCAACGTTAAATAATAATCCTTTCGTACGTCTGACGAGGTCTTCAGCTACTCTTATTATTAAGAATGCAGAAACCGCGGGTAAACGTTTCTCTAGCGAGCTTTAAAAAGGAATTCGAACTCTTAACAGGACAGTAGAGACAGGTCTTTTCTCGTTTTCCACCTCGGAAGATTTTTCTAAACGTGACCAACGTCAAAATCCAACATAAACGAAACGATTATCTACGAAATAAACGACGTTTGTTCGGTCGCATCGACCGAAACCTCTGCCCGAACCTAATCTTCATCAGAGCTTGATTCAACGTGACTGAGAAAATTTCCAAGATCCCTCCCCCCGACAACAAACGTTCACCCCGAAGAGGCAATTGAGAGCGAGCTTATCACCGGCGCCCATCGTATTCTGTATCGCGATCGCCTGGAAGCTTCGCGTGCATGGAAGCCAGCACGCGAGAGTACAGTGAAGTATGGCAGTAGTGCAAGCAATCACTTGGATTGACGGAAGTGGACACGAGAGACACAACGACTACGACAGTGGGAACAGAGAGAGAAAGAGAGAGAGGGAGGGAGAGCGAGGGTAGGGAAGGAGACAGGAGAAGCCTGCGTGAGAGGAGAACGTGGCCCGGTGACGTCACATCCGGTAGCTCGTCGACGTTTCACTCTCTTTTTCTCTTTCGCAGAGCGTGCGTGCCATCGACGGAAAGAAACGCGAACGCGTGCACTGAATTCCTCATTGCGAGCCTCCTCGAGTCCGGAGGATTTTCTACGTATATCTCTTAAAGCGAGTTTTTTTTTTTTTTTTTTATAGTACCAGAATAATACGATATTATGCGAAACTAACTGCAACGAGTTAGCCAAATTTGGAATATTTTCATCATCAGATCAGACACAACGTTACGGGCAATCGTCGCCCAATTTCAACCAATTGCGCTGACAACTGGTTCGCGGACCGTAACGAGTGACCGAACCGTACACAATAATTCGTCGCTATCTTTTCCTTTTGAACTCGTCGGTACTCGACGTCACTGGATAGAAATGATCAAGAGGTAACAGACGTATCATTCGTTTTACCTGGGTTACATTTAAATATACTTAAAAATATGTATTGCAATATATATTTAAAATATATATATATATATATATATATATATATATATATATATATACATAAAAACTGCGAAAGCGTTGCAATTTGGGGCAAAAAATTCTCGACGTGCGTGGCACGTCATTCCAACGCAGGAGGTTTAACGATCAGGCTGTTAAACGCAAGAACAAGTGTCCGCTTACCTATCTTACTGTTGGGACTGTAAGGATCGTAGCTGCTGGTGCTCATAGGGCTGGCGTAGCCATTGTTGCTGCTTGGCGGTTGCTGCTGATGCGCCAGGGGGCTGGAATGAGCGAGAGGCGGTTGCTGTTGCTGCGACTCGGCCAACTGTTGCTGGGGATTCGTGTATACCACGTGTTGGCCCTGCAGCGTGGCAGACGGTGAACCAGGACTGTTCGCGGCCAGCCAATCGTCGGGTCTGGCGGTTTTGTTGCTGGCCGCGATCCCGGTGAACAGGCCGCTGGCCCCTGTCACCGGGCCAGCGACCGACGACGACGACGTTGTCGACGTTCCGGCGAGGTGTTCCGGCGTCTCAGCCTTGACCAGCGTGAGGGACGCAGCGCCAGCCACCACAGAGGCGATCGTCCCGACGCCTGCCACCACGGTGCTCGTGCCTCCGTTAGTCGTGTCCATGCTGGAGTCGCTGGTGTCCATGCTGGACGCGGCTGGGTCGGCAGTGGCTAACCTGGAAGTGGCTGCCAACACGACACCCCCCGTGCCAACCACCCCCGACGCCTCATCGTAACGCACCGCTACGTTGCCGCTCACTAAGCTGGCCACCGTGACGGGTCCTCTGCTCACCTCTTGTTCACTACTTGTGCCCTTGAAATCCTTCGAGAGAGATGCTTGATTCACGCCTGAGGACACCCTCCTGAGGACACCGATACTCCGCCGGTTCTCACCGATCTGATTTGTCGAGGTTTGACCAGGTTCGACGAGTCGTTTAGAGGGTTCACGTTCACGATGAACGCCTGGCGGCTTGGAAGGCAGTGGTTTCACGTCGTCTCAGGCTCCCAGGCTCGTTCAAGTGGTTATATCGAGCACCGGGTGCCGTGGATATCGGATCCGCGCGCGGATTGAAAGAGAGAGACCCAAGTTTTTGTAGTCCTACTCGAGTTGGTAGGCGTTGTGAGCGAGCGTTGAGTCGAAGTCTCTGGGTTTGATTGCTATTATGCGCGTGATTATGCTCTAGGCAGAGATCTGGCTCAAATATTGGGACGCACTGCGATTAATTCTCGGGACTGTCAAGTCGAGGGACTTCCTCTACCGCATCTTGAAGTGCGCCTCGAACCGCAGGCCCTGGTGCATGCTGGCCGAGTCGAATCGCCAGGCGGTGGTGTTTCTGAGGTATCTGGAACGAGAGGAGGACGAGTCGGTTAGTTGGTTACATTAAAAATTGTTATTGCGATCAAATCTTTATCTTTAAATTGTCGCCGCTATAATTCCCCAAACGTCCGATCTTCGTCTGAGAATGATTAAAGATCAAATTGATTTTCTTTCGTGTTGTTTTACAGTCGTGACATCTGACACCAGATAATTAGGCAGCGTGTCACAATAATACCATGTTACACAAATAAGATCAGAGAAGCCAGAGTTCAGTACCCAGAATTTGCATTCTCAATCGTCGTAATTGTCGCGTTATCAACCAGTACATTCGTTTATTGAGAAGGGATCTCAATATTTTATCACACCTGTGGAAGGACGTTATACGTGTATTTTTACGCCTCCCGGGGCGTTAAATTTATCGATAAATGGACATTAATTTTTCATCGGGTTTCTACAGGAATTTCCAAGTTTAGACGCGATAATTTCTCCAACGGTGGAATTTTCTTGCAATTACGTAGAAATATTAGACCTTTTTTATTATTCGTGTTTTTTATATTTATATTTATATTTATATTTATATTTATATTTATATTTATATTTATATTTATATTTATATTTTTGACACTTCTCATATTATTTTTACACTAAATTGCCTCTCACGTTTCTAAATAATAACGAAAATGATAGAGATTAATATAAAAAAAATTGTCCGACACAATCTACGTTACTCTCACGCATTGCACACATTTTGCCCCGATGAAACTTTCATTTTCGAATCATCCACCTGTTCCTAAAAATGTTAATTTCTAGAAAAAACTCAATTCCTAAAAGTAAGGGGTAAAGAAGAAACGAGAAACTAAAATTGGCTGAAAATTACACGTTCCAGAAAAGAACCGTGTATATTATACCATGTAGTGAAAAAAAAGAGCACACGACACGCGATTACATCTAGAAGGAACTGCAGAACAACTCTCAATCGACGCCACGCAATTTCCTTCTGCGTGGAGAAATCGTGGATAATGATACGCTTGAACGATCAGACGAGCAACGATGAAACGGGAGCTGGATATTCTTGGTCCTCTGATCTAAACTTTCAGTCGCCTGAAACGCGACCACCAGGGCCAATAAACCTCTACTGAGCTCGCGACAATCGTGTCGACCACGATTCCATTCGATTAGAGAATTCAGTTTCTTTTTTTTTTTTTTTTTACTAAGAACCTTTTTGTGTTATTTGTTTTTTTTAAATAAATTTCACATAATATTAATAAAGACTTCCAATCAGCCAATCAGCAATAATTCCAAATAGAAATTCACGATTTAATGAAAATTCCTTGATAAAAGTTTGTGAGATTTTGATAAAAATTCCCGATTTAATAAAAATTCATAATAATGAAAACTCTTACTAGGAATTAGAAAGAAAAAAAGCGAAAGATACTACGTAAATATTGCGATAGAAAATATTCAATTTCATCAGAAGCAAATGAAAGAGAACGGCCCAATTTTTTCAAATCACGCGTCAAGAAACTTTCTGAAATGCAAGGACAACGATATACGACAGCAAGTGGTTTAAATGTCTCAAGTGAGAGAATAAGAGGGTCGTGATGCATCTGACAGGGCAGACGGTTGTTCAACGTGGCGCGAAGTCACGTGGAAATTGAGCAATTGAGAAAGAAGAGGATTACGACAACGCAGAAGTTGCGTCCCGGAGACACGTAGCTTGGAACAATGCAATTGTAAATTGATAGGACGCTCGGTGCCGCTAGTGGGACGCGTTTTTATCAAGCAGCAACGAGTGAAAGTCGATGCTGGTCACGTGGAAAAATCGCCTTTTACAATTCGCCCGTAGAAACAGATAAAACTTCGAGAAACCTTTGGTTGCAAAATCAAGATACTTAAAACAAAGAAAAATTATTACCTTTCACCTAAGACGATTCTTTAATCCCACCAAAAAACTGTTCGTCGCACTTCTCGCTAGAACAGTGACACCGAAATACACTGGAATGATTTTAAAGAAGATCATTTTTCGAACCTTCGTAGCACTTCGCGAAAATTGAACAGGAACTCTTGACAGAAACACTTTGACTTGGAATTTTACTGTGACTTCAAAAAAAAAAAAAAAAAAGAAAAAGAAAAAAAACGGTAACTTGCTATTAAAACGAATTGTACGGACGGCGAGAAACAACTACTGCCGCGCCATCTAGGTCGCGGTGATCTGTAACTGAAACTAAAACACGGCGGGAATCCCCGGATACACGCAAACCAGCGGCCAGAAAGAAACGTTGGCGAATCGATGTGGAACGACGGATACGGCGAGACGAATGGCATGGTGCGTGGCAGTTGCCGAAACGAGCCCCACCATGGCGGCCCATAGGCCTTGAAACGGTGACCAATGGCGGGACAAGGCAGAGCGGCTGGGCCCGCGCGACTTTCTACGCAGCTCTCCGACTCCGCTGGCCCCAAAAAGACAACTGAGAATTCCGATTGTGATCAGGCTCGTCCTCTAGACTCCCCTCTAACTTCTTTCAGGCTCGTGGCTCTTTTGTTTACTCCGCTGTTTCCTCTTTTCTCGTTCCATTAAAACGTCCGACAGAGAGAGAGAGAGAGAGAGAGAGAGAGAGAGAGAGAGAGAGAGGTGTGCGTTCTTTTCACGCGATCGAAAGGGGTAATCGCACTTTTCGAAATACAAGTGACGAACGAAAGGAAATTTAAAGTACAAGTAACTAGAGAAAATATTTGTTCGTTGGATTAGATTCAGAATATCTTCTTTTAGATGATCGAAATTCTTCCCGGATATTTTATTTCTATGATACATTATGATATCTAGTACCTATCTGTCGTTTGGTAGATATTATGTTCCAGCCAAGTCAAGTTATAATTTCTGCGTTGAACATTTCTCATTTGCGAGTCTAGGTGTTCTCGCAGACTCGTCTTTGAAATGGAGGGAAGGGCGAGTGTTGTTTTTCGTTTGAAATTATTTTTACAGTTACGAATGTTTTCCTAATTGTTCAGCTTCTTGTCCGCACTGTTCCGAGTCCGCAAGGGAATTGCGAAGTGGTTTTGAGATTGCTGAGGATTTATGTGAACTACCGGTCATAGTGTTCCTGTATCCTAGGGCTGATCTATCGAGCAGTGGCTCGTGTCGGCTTCGGTCGAGACCGTGTGCCCGAAAACAGCGATTTATTAATCACCCTTGTCATCTGGAACACGCACGGCCGACTTCTGACAATAGCAGCCTGCTAGGCCGTGTGTCACCAGCAGAACAACCAAGCCTGCTCTGCACGTCACCGCAGCACAACTGATCGATTATTTAAGTCGAACACGCCGCATCGGCGACGACAGCCGAATTGATCCTAATATTTGGACATGGCTCGATCCCTAAATCAGCTGAATCAGCAAGATCCTCGACAGTTAACGAGAAAACATCGTCCACCGAACGCATCATCCCTCTTCTTCCTTCGTTGAAAGTGTTTGAAATTTCAAGAGAAAGCGCAAATAAATTATTACTATTGTCTACCGACAATACGTGACACAGAGATAAAATTAGAAACACGAGAGCCAAAGTTCCCTTCGCAGCAGATCCAAAAAAAAAAAAAAAAAAGAGAACAAAATTACAAGAGACGAGAGAATGGAAAGAGAGCGTCGGCAACTGTTCGCAAACCGAGTGGGGAAAAAAAATTCTTGAATCCGGTTTCCAGACTCTGAGAATGTTGCAGCAAATGTTCGTATGCAAATTCGATGAAACCTCCCGCGGGACGCAGGATCGGTAACACAAGGCTAGAAAGTTTGAAAACTGCGTTTGGAGGGGATGAAAACCATACGAGTAATCGTACAGCTAGTGGAATATCGATCCGGTCACACTCCGTGCGCCTCCTTGCCCCTGTCTGTGGCGCCTAACTCATGGGGATTCTGGGTAGGGGGACAGCCTAACCTTCGACACTAACCCTGACCCACCCCACTGTAGTCGCCTCGCCAATTCCTCACTTCCTTTCGCGACACTCTTTCTCTCTCTCTGTCTGCCTGGTCTAGGTATCTGTATCTTAATATCTCTATTATTTGTTTTTTGGAAATATTTATTTTATTATTTTTGAAAATGTTATCTCTCTCTTTATATGTGTATTTATATAGATCTGTATCTTCTTATTTTTTTTGGCTTTTGGAAATATTTCTTCACTCTGGGCTCTGTGATATTCTTAGACAAGTCGGAGATAGGTTTTAGAAACCAAGTATTTCTCAGTGATTGATGAAAAATGTCAGCTGAGATTTGGCCTGAAACAAAAACTGGATATCGGAGGGTTCCACTGTTCAAGTATATTCTTGGAATATTCTATTCGAGTGATACAACCAATCGTGATTCTCAACATTCTGCGGAAGATGAAGCGAAAATTTCGTTTAAAGCTACCCTATTGCAAACCAGCCCGTCACAGGCCAGTTTCAGATGAATCCGGACGATCGTTTCTCCGCGCTTGATGGAAAAGTTTCATCGCCAACTCCATCGATTTCCAACCGCCAACATCAAAGTTCCATCAATCAAATACGAAAATCCAATCTCCCTCTGAAAATATCAAACTTCCATCCGGGGAACCTTGACGCGTGACGTCCCTCCTCTGTGCGCAATGACATTTTCTAACTCTTCCCAAGTGATATCCCCGTCCGTCGTGGAACTTTCTTTTCTGCTGGAAAGCAAACCGGCCCGGTCGGTGTTCAATTTCCAATAATTGCGGCTGAAAAGAGCCCGGCCCCCCGGGTTTTTCTACGGCGGCGGTTCTTCCGTTCTGCCACCGTGAAAGCCAGCAGAGAAACACATCGGCACCGCTATCGAAACACGTCCGGATATTATTACGGATATTGAATTCATGTCAGGATGCTTGGACGTGCGCGTCGAGTCGCGGAATCGAACGCGCCTGCACGACGGCAACCGGCACGACGCCGCGCCACGCGAAATAGTGTATCAACAGGTAGCCCCTCGCGGTTTTTCTCGCATTAGCGCCGTTTAATCGAGCGAAATCCCAGCCCCCAACCACCACG